TGGCTAGTTTAAGTGGGCTGTCTGTAAAATACTAAACTAATGAATTGTTTAGTATTAGTGGGGAACAAAACATAAAAGCATGGGGGATTAATTGAATATTATAAGTTGCTCATACCTTTGGGCATAAGACACTGGATAATGGGCTGTAAGGGAATATCATGGGCAAAAAATTTGATAAGATAGAGGGGGCAGGCCTGCCTTGGGGGTTATATATAGAGTCATTTTTAGATAGGAAAAGAAAAACAGACCTGAAAAGAAAGGGAGGGAGTTTGAACAACAGTTTCAGAGAGACTTTTAAGAGTTTAGGACCTGAAAGAGAATCTGAAAAAGAAAGAGTTAAAAGAGAGGAAGAGAGTTAAGAGCTGGGGAAAAGGGCTATAGGATATAGATACAACTACTGTTTCATGGCATTTTGAGTGAGCTTTTGGTTTTCTTTTCAATTCTTGAAACCCTTTATTGAGTAGGTTGAGACTAGAAATGAATTAAGCTTGATATTGTTGTGTGATTAGAGGGGTTTTGAGTTTATTTGGGTATTTGCTGTGATTGTTGTTTCACACTTCATTCCGGACTGTGTTCAAGTGTGTTCTGGGCTGAACTGGTTGTGTTTGTGGCTGTTTGAACTTCAAATTGCTGCTGCGAACTGCTGTTATATTGTTGCTCGTATTACTGCTGCTGATTTTTCTTCTATTTTTTTTTGTGTTCCAATCCCAGGTACACATTCGAATCCACCATGATGTAGCTTTGAAATGGAGTTGATGATATAAAAGTGTTCATCAGATCCCTATTTATTTGGATTTCAGCTGTATTTATGGTTAACATAGACAGTAACTGTTATGGGTTGCCAAGCGTAGTTTAGTTTTGTATTTTGCTGTTAAAACTTGGGCTGTGTAATTAGAACTATAGTGGACTTTTGGATTATTGTGTAGAATGGTATTAGCTGTAGCATAATTTAGCTTGATTCTGTTTAGTTTAAACTTTTAGAACTAAAAATAGTTTGAGCTGGGAATCAATATGGCTATCCGTTGTTTAACATATACATGAGAATAAGTGTCGTGGAATTAGCTAATGTGCGCATCTGAATTGTTATCGTTGAATTAACGTTAGGTCTCGTGAGTACTCAGATTCATGGAATTGGTTCGTTGAGTCTAGTAGTTTGCTTTAGTTAATAACTTCCCTTAGTTTGATCAAAACCTTCAAATAAATACCTTCAGTTACTTTCATGCCCGAGTAGGAAGCTACAATCAGAACAATCAATACTAACTTGAATCAAGTAAATGAACTTGAGACGACTCTCTTCATCGGGTTTATCTTAGAGCCCGATGGCTTTGGTGTAGATTTATTATGTGGTTTGCCTCAGTCCAGCAACAAATAAATTAGGACCTCTCTTTTATCGGTAGAGACAATAAAGGTAGAAAATCGTAGTCACTTTAGGATCAGCCTTAAAATAAAAAGGTGAGCCTCGCCGAATAAAAAATGCAAAATTACGGGGCCCACAATAATTCTGTATATTAAAATACTTAGATTTCGGGACGGGTCGTTTAGCGAATTTCACGGCCTTCCCCAAAACAATAACGCGTTAGTCTCTTTAGGCGCGTATTTTAATAATATTACCTTCTTAAANTATTAAAATCAGATAAATAAGTCGAATATGACAGTTGAGCGACCGTGCTAGAACCACGGAACTCAGGAATGCCTAATACCTTCTCCCGGGTTAACAGAATTCCTTACTCGGATTTCTGGTTCACGGACTGTAATACAGAGTCAATCTTTTCCTCGATTCGGGATTCAACCGGTGACTTGGGACATCATAAATCTCCTAAATGGCGACTCTGAATTAAATAATAAATCCCGTTTCGATTGTCCTTTAATTGGAAAAAACTCCTTTTTACGCCCCTTTGCGGGCGCGGGTAAAAAGGAGGTGTGACACACGTAGTACGCATTTTCAATAGAGTGGGAAAGAGACTTCTCGATCCTTCCAACTCCCAGAATGTATCCCTTCTTGCCATTTTCTAAGGATACACTCCCTCCCTATAGGGTCTTCAGTGAAAAGAAATCATTTGTACTTCCAGTCATGTGCTTCGAGCAGCCGCTATCTATGCACCACTGTTGACTGGTCCCTTTCACTGTTCCCTGCACAAGGAAATCAAGGGTTAGACTTAGGAACCTAAACAAGTTTGGGTCCCTTGTAATGAGGAAAGGGGTGAGGGCTCTTTTGGTCCAATCAGGCATTATATGTTTTTTATGTGAAGGACCAGGTTCCGTAGCAGCAATTACTTTTTCAGCAAAAATTTTGTTTTTCTGTTGAGACTGAATTCTGGCCTTACAATTTTCTTTAAAGTGTCCAGTGTTGCCACAGTGAATGCAAAGCCAATTGTCAGGTACAGTAACGTACTTGCTCTGAGGGTTGTAGGGAGTCTTTTCCCTTTGGAACCCGATTCCTTGCCTATTTCCCCCATTGTTTGTGTACAAGACAGTGATAGCATCAGAGGACCAGGTCCACTTAAGTGATTTTTCAAGATCACTCTTCACTCTTCCTAGTTTTTTCTGAAGTTGTTTATTTTTCTCAAGCTTGGCACACAAACTAGATTTCACTAATTTTAACTCATTTTCAAGCTTAAGGTGTGCCTTACTTGCAACTTCCTTTCCCTTTTGAGTGTTCACAGGCCTATTTTCCCTTCTTAGTTCCTCAATTATTTCCTTTAGGTCTACAACTACCACCAATAGGTCATCTCTCTCATGCTCTATGTTTGCAATTCTCTCAGTCAAGGTATCCTTTTCCCTTTTTAAACTCTCAGTGGTCTCTCTTAGATCAACCGCAACCACCACTAGATCATCTCTCTCGTGTTCTATATCTCCTAGTTCCATAGTTAGTGCATTTTTATCATTAATGAGACTGTGATAAGCATCAATTAAAACTTTTGCCAAAGATATAATCTTCTTTTGAGAATAGGATTTAAAATTTCTTTGAACATCTAGAAGGTTTACCTCATCATCATCATCGTCATTTCCATCATCATCAGATTTTGCCATCAATGCAAATATGGAATCATATTTTGCAGCTTTGCTTTCAACGGCCATCATGGAGGTGTCTGTATGTTCATTATCACCCTCATATTCACTAGAGGAATCTCCCCAGGCATCCAGAGCATGCTTTACAATATTATCAGCGCACTCCCTTCTCTTGAACTTTCTGTCGGGGGCCGGGTTCCTCTTAACCATCTTGTCAGCATTATGTTTGTAATGGTACTAATTATGGAGAGGACAATCTTTGATGAAATGTCCTGGCTTTCTGCACTTGTGACAATAATCGTATCCTTTACTATTTTTGTTATAGCTTCCCTTCTTGGGAATGCCTCCATTTCTACGAACCATTTTCTGAAATCTTGGTAGTTTGTTGGTTGATTGACTTTCATCGAAGTTTGGTGGAGCATACATGTTGATATGTTCTAGGTGCTAACCTTTTTGAAAGAACCTGCTCTGATACCAATTGATAAAAACTAAGCATCCACCAAACTGTATAGAGAATCGGGTTCTCTATCAGTTCCCACTGTAAGCAACAGACTGTAAAACCAAAAAGTATAGGGAATCAGGGTCTTTCACAGTAAATCGACAGTAAATAAAGAACATACAGGAATTTTACGTGGAAAACTCCCAGCTCAACGGGATTAAAAACCACGACCTACCCTTGTAGGATTTCAACTTCACTACTGAGAAATCTTTAGATTACAACCTATTGTAACCTAGGAATTAACCTCTTAATCCTTCACTAACTTGTAACTACACTATTACAAGCTACTTTGTAGTAACTCTATTACAAAGACTTAATCACTCACTAACTTGTAACAATACTATTACAAGCCACTTTGTAATAACTCTATTACAAAGACTTCACAACTCAACTAACTCTAGCCAAGACACAAACACAAGGGTTTATGATTTATAAAGGGTTTCCTACACAATGCTTCTAACTAAGCTAAGTAGGAATTACAAGTGAAGGACAAAATAACAAAGACTCAACGAACCTAAGGACTTATGATATCTTCAATCTTTGGATCTGGTCTTTGAGGTTGCAGTAGCTTTGTTCTTGAGAGATGTGGTGGCTAGCACTTGAGAGAATATTTTCTTTTGATTTGCAAGTGTTCAAGTGATTGTGTTTTACCTCCCTTGTTGTTAATAATACATGTGTGACCTCACATACAATGATGTAAGCAAGGTAGGTAAAAAGATTTCTGCAGAAAAGTGACTGATGCACTGTTCATGCACTGTAGCATGTGTAGACATGTAATTTTTGACTCGCATAGTTTTAAAGTTAGTTTTAGTATCTTTATGTTTTAAAATATCTACTTGAGTTATTATGTAATTTTAGCCCCTTTTTTTTTAAATTTCAAATCAAATTAAAAGAAAAAAAAAGAAGAAAGTTTCAATTTATCTTATTAGATATGCTTGTTTTTGTTTTAATTTTTTTTTAAGTTCATTAGTATTTTTATAGTAGTATCATGCTAAGTTTTCCATGGTTTTTATATTTTTATTTTTAGTATAATCCTTGAAAAATACAAAAAAGAATAATAAATATATATATAGTTTCATGTTTTACCTTATTTCTATTTAGTTTAGGCTATTAAGATTTTTATAGCCATATATTTTGTTTTTACTACGATTTTCACTCTTACTTTTAATTTATATAAAATATGATATATTAGAAAATATATAGTTTCATATTATTACATAGTTTATTTAATTAATTGAAATTAGTTTAGTTTAATTTAAAAAAAGATTGGGTTGGTTATTTAATGGACTTTTAAAAATTGAAGAAGTACAAATTTTAGCCCAATTTTACACAAGAGAAGGCCCAAATCGAACAGCCCACGTCCCCCACTAAACCCGCCCCAAATAACTCTCTGACGGCGGCCATCCCCTCTTTGAATCCTAGCCCTCCATCCCAATTAATCTAATGGCCAGCATTAATTCCACCAACCATATAAAAGCTTAATCTTCCCCAAACCCTAAACCTAAAAACTAGCCGCCCCATACCTTCCCTCTCCTCCAACCCCTCTGCCCACATCCAACTCGCCCAAACTCGCCGTAATCGGGCGAGTTCGCCCTCAACGAATCCCATGGTCCCCCTCTCTCTCTTCTCCTTCTTCCATGTCATTCATTCCGTACTAAATCTCATCATTTCAATCCGATTCACGGATTTCTTCTTTTATTTCTTTTGTTTAAACATAAATCCGAGGCCCTTGAATAAATTTGGGAGAAATGGGAACCGTTGGATGAAGATTTTTGTCCAAAGTCTCCAGTTTTCTGATTTTTGTTTGTGAAAGGGGGATTTTCGGATTTGATTTTGGGGTCCCACACGATATCTTGCTGAGGAAGAAGAAGCTTTAAGAGAGGGTATATATTTGGAGCCTTTAGATAGAGAAGAGGAAAAAAAAAGTTCGAGGGTTTTGATACTGGATTTCGACATTTCTCTTCTGATTTCGATTTTTCATAAAAAAAAATTCAATTCTTCTTGGTTTTAATTTGACTCCCACTTCGAAAAATACAAAAAAAATTATTATTTTCAGTTCTGTTTTGATTCTCTTTCATGGAGTTCAACTGAGGCATTGTGGAGTTTTGAGGTTTTGTTAGCCGTTCGAGTTGGCTCGCGATTCCGTTCGAGTTAAATTTGTTCGTGTAATTGTTGGAATATCTTTATTAATCGAAAACCAGCCTTTCTCAGGTTCGTCTCTTTACCATTAGATCTTCTCTCATTTGCTTATGGTGAATCAAGCCTTAAAAGAGCCATATTAAGATGGGTTATTTGGTATTCTGCATTGAAACACTTACCTCCAGAAATATGGGTAATTGATAGTTGAGATTTGTTTAATTTTCTTGGGGTTTGTTCACTCCTCTGTTTTAGCATTTCATTTAGTCTTGTTTAACAGATCTTTGGGATTGAGTGAATCTATTTTGTGGTGAATTTACACCTGAACGGCAAAGAATTTTTATACAAGAATACCAGGATCGCGTTTGATTTTAGTCAAATAGGGATGAATATTCATGTAATTCTTTACCATTAAAAATCACTTAAAACTATAATTATCCATATGTTCGCTCGCTTTCTTTTTATGGCCAAAACATGGATTATGTGAGTTGAAGTTGTCAACTGGCCTTTACAATCTTCATATAAGATGCATCCATCATGAGTGTCTCGAGGTTAACCTGTCAATAGTTGGGTTTTCTAGCCTACCAAAGGTGATTTATGGCATGTTTCAGTCCACCTCTTGAGTTGAATTTTTTGTCGAATCTTAAAAAGTTGGGATTTAGTTCTTCGATTGAATGAGTTGAGAGTCTTTCTTAAGGAAGAAAAAATTAGTTCTATAGCATATTATCTCAATAGCGTAGGAGCTTTTGTCATCGGGTATGATTGTTTGGCATTATTTTAAAACAAAAAATGAGTTTTAAAATCATTGTTGTTGTTTCGTTACCTTGTAAGATTTGTTGGTTTACTTTTGAGGTAGATTTGGACGTGTAGTTAATCTGGGGTATAGAGCACAATTTATGATTGATTTAAATTGTTTTCTAAATGATGTAAGATAAAGAAGAATTAGGGTGATTAGAAATCTTTTAATGGCTCTTCTTAATGGCTTTGATTCACATTTTCCTTTATTGTTCTTCAGCCCTCCCTTTATTTGCTGAACGTTTTTCTTATCTATTTGAATGCTACTTTGTTCGATCATGCTGGGTGTGAAATTGTATGAATGATGAACTGGGTCGTGGGATTGGAGGGTACGACCAGCCCATTTGATAATTATTTTGTTTTCATATTTTTAGATATAGGGCTCGGTCCCATAAAAATAAAAGTTAAAAACAATACATGAGTGAATTTAATTGTTCTTTTATTCAGTTCTTTACTTTATTTTCTTTATTGATCATATTATTCATTAGGATCATGTCTGGGCCGGCCATATTTGGGTAGGCAAATCTTCAGGACATTCGTGTTTTAGCTTCTTTTGAGGCGAGAGGTCGTTCCCTTAGTTAAATTTATCCGGGGAATGACCCGAAGAATTTGTAAATATATTTTATTCCGGGGAATGCCCCATCGTACATGTAAAAGGAGGCCAAAAGTAGAAACTTGTAGTATTTTTATTTTATTTTCATTTTTCTTTCTCTTTTATTTAGGTGGGGACGACCTTGAACATCTCGTGTGTTTATTTTCCTTTTTCTATGTTTTCTACCTCAATTGAATATTTTTTAAAAGCCGACTAGATCGACTACGCAACCGTGACTTTCACGGGACTTGGGGAGTGCCTAACACCTTCTCCTCGAGTCAAATGAACCCCCTTACCCTAATCTTTGGTGTAGACTTAGTTTTAGAGTTCAGAGTGTTTTGAAAGGAAAATTATTATCATTTTTAGAAAAAACGGTGACCTGACACACCGAAATCAAATGTCAGGTGGCGACTCTGAGTTATTTTCTTTTGAACACAATTTTTGTCACATTCTAATTGGAAACCCTTTTCAAAGCTTTACTACATCTTTCTATTTATTTAAGAGGGTCAGTGAGGTTTGTTAAAAAATGGGGTGTGACAGCATGTGCAAGTAGCACTTTCCAACTGGAGAGTTGACTTCGTATAGTCACCTCGGGAACTGGTAGGGACATGTTCCCTCAGTTGTTCCTTCGACTCTGAAGAGTTGAGCCATAGTCCAAACTGGATCCCAAACTGGAACATTGTGATCTTAAAGTCTTGAGAATGTTTAATGTAGAGTTGACTATACGACGACTAGGGGAGCTGATCTATATCTGTTCCCTCTGTTGTTCCCTTATCTGATTTCATAGAAAATTGAACCAGACATCTGACTGGTTACTCTGAATACAAGAGAACTAATTGTATCAGGTTCCTTATCTGTTTCTATCATGAAGTTTGTCAAATCATCAAAACAAAAGACGCATAACTTATCAGGAAGGAAGACCACATCGACCATCTAAAGGAAGCCTTCGATATAATAAGGCGATACGGCATGAAGCTGAACCCCAAAAAGTGTGCCTTTGGCATAACCTCGGGCGAGTTCCTCAGCTTTCTGGTGTCATAAAGAGGCATCGAGGTCAACCCCGACCAGATCAAAGCCATCGAGGAAATACCCGAAATATTGACCAGCAAAAAACAGGTACAAAAACTGATTGGTTGTATAGCTGCCTTGTTGAGGTTCATCTCACGATCCTCTAACAGATTCCACAAATTCTTAAACGTTCTTAAAAAGGACAATGAACTCTAGTGAAATTCAAAATGTATCAAGGCCTTAAGAGAACTAAAGGCATACTTGTCCTCGCCCCCACTACTCGCCAAAGCAGAACCCGGCGAGCGCCTCCTGATATACTTAGCTGTATCAGAGGTTGCAGTAAGTGCAGTGCCAGTCTTTGAAATCAAAGGCACGCAATCTCCAATCTATTACATTAGCAAAACCCTAGTCGACGCCAAAACAAGGTACCTCCACCTCGAAAAGTTGGTTTTGGCATTGGTCATAGCTTCACGAAAGCTTAGACCCTATTTTCAATGTCACCCTATATCAGTGGTCACGACCTTCACCCTAAGAAGCATCCTACATAAACCCAAGCTGTCAGGTAGATTGGCCAAGTGGGCCATAGAATTGAGCGAGCACGATATAACATATCAACCGTGAAGAGCAATAAAATAGCAGGTACTCGCCGACTTCGTCGCCGATTTCAATGCCAAAATAAAGCCTGAGGTCGAGCAGGAAAGTTCTCGCACCTCTCCTAGGTTACCCGACCTATGGGTCCTATACACCGATGGCGCTTCCTACGCGTCAGGATCTGGACTAGGACTCATACTCGAGGTCCCAACAGGAGAAGTCATCTGCCAGTCCATACAGTGCCCCGATATGACTAACAATGAGGTTGAGCACGAGGCCGTAATTGCAGTACTAAAGCTAGCTCTCAAGTACGAAGCACGACGAGTCGTCCTCTGATGCGACTCACAACTCGTTGTCAACCAATTCACAGGGACTTTCCAAATCAAAGAGTAGAGGCTACAAAGTACCAAGCAGAAATTCATAAACTACTGCCGGAATTCGACGAATGTCAACTCGACCAGATACCTCGAGCACAAAACATCGAGACAGATGGCCTCGCCAAGTTAGCAGCAGCCACCAAAAACATTAGAAAAGAAAACGTGGTTACCCTCCTCCACTCTTCAATAGACCAACTTGAGGTACACTCTATAAATTTAACTTGGAACTGGCGCAACCGTATTATAACATATTTGCAGGAGGGAATACTCCCATCAAACAAAAAATAATCCAAAAAGCTTCGAATGCAGGCGGCCGAATACAACATTATAAACCACGACCTATACAAAAGAATATTTGGCGGTCTTTTGGCAAAATGCCTAAGGCCAAACCAAACAAGATTCTTCCTCGAGGAAGTACGCGAAGGCCACTGCGGTACCCATACCGGCAACCGAGCATTCATCAGATGCCTCATACGAGTAGGCTATTATTGGCCTACCATGAAGAAAGAAACCGCCAACTTCGTCAAGAAGTGCGAGCAGTACGAGAATACGCTCATATGATACACCAAGCGGGCGAGCACCTCCACTTGGTCACATCGTCATGGCTATTCATCAAATGGGGAATGGACATCGTGGGACCACTCCCAACGGGATGATGTAATGTGCGTTTCCTTTTGGTTTTAACTGACTACTTTTCCAAATGGGTAGAATAAGGTGCATTCGCCCAACTACGCGGACAAAAAGTTATCACATCATATGGAGGAACATCATATGTCGCTTCGGCATCCACAAAGAAATCAGCTGTGACAACGGACCCCAGTTCCACCGGGAAAAAGACCGCTGAATTCTTTGAGAAATGGCACATCAAGCGAACACTCTCCACGCCATATCACCCTGCAGGCAACGACCAAGCCAAATCCTCCAACAAAACAATACTAAACATCATGAACAAGAAACTCGAAGACGCCAAGGGACTATGGCCGGAACTACTACCAGAAGTGTTATGGGCATACCGCACCATGCCAAAAACAAGCACAGGAGAAACGCCATATTCACTAGTCTATAGGACTGACGTAGTGATACCAGTCGAGGTCAGGGAATCAAGTTTGAGATACTCCATGAGAGCGGACCAAGCAACGACGAGAACAGAAAGCAATACCTCGACGAAGCGGAGGAGCGAAGAGACATGGCTCATATAAGAATGATAGCCCAAAAACAGCAAATAGAATGGTATTACAACAAAAAGGCCAAAGTAAGACCACTCAAAGTCGGGGACTATGTACTCAAGGAGAAAACACAGGCGGGCAAAGACCCAAGAGAAAGCTCCCCGCAAAATCACGGTCCATACAAAATCACGACAGCAGCAAACAAAGGATCATTCCAACTAGAAACAATGGAGGGAAAGCTACTACCAAACAATTGGAAAATCGCCCCCTCAAATACTTCAACTTCTAAGAATGGACGTTCTCCAAATCGTACTATTTTTTCCCTCACCTTAGTTTTATCCCAATTGGGTTTTATCGGGGAGGTCTTAATGAGGCGACGAAGGGGATGTCTTGAAGTTCAAGTATAATTCATCGCCCCGCCTATCGACTACTTTTCCAAGCCGAGCGATGAAGGGACTAGGTAGACTAGAACTTCTCAAATATATGTATGGAACAAACAGAAACATGTAATATTCTCCAATGAATGAAATAAACAAAACAGCATGCAATATTTTTGCACAACTCCACCAAATAATTTTACATCCTTCATTCGACCTCGCTCGAATTATTTGACACTCGACCTCGCTCGAATTACTTTACACTCGACTCGCTTGAGTTATTCGACCTCACTGGAATTACTTTACACTTGACTCACTCGAGTTATTCGACATTCGGCCTCGCTCAAATTATTCGACATTCGACCTCGCCCGAATTATTCGACATTCGACCTCGCTCGAATTATTCGACATTCGACCTCGTACAAATTACTTTACACTCGACTCGCTTGAATTATTCGACATTCGACCTCGCCCGAATTATTCGACATTCGACTCGCTCGAATTGTTTTACATTCGATCTCGTTCGAATCAATCAAACCTCGACCTCGTTCGAGCTAACTAATATCCGACCTCAAGTCGGTCTATGTTCGACTCCGCCAAAATCAACATTACAGGCAAACAGCCGAAATTCAGGGACTTCCCACATAGCAGACGAGAAGAAAAAGAGAATGGAAATCCAAAAATACATAGAAAAAAAGGCAATTATTCCATTTCAATTGTCAGATTACAGTACTTTTTACAAAGGTCTCGAGGACGCCCTCACAAAAATAACAAAGCAAAAAGAAAACTAAGTACAAAAGCTTCACGCCACATAATCCCCATCAGCATACTCATCATCATACCAAGGATCAGAGGCAAGCCCATCCATGGCGTCGTCATCATCATCCCCGCCGGGTATACCAGGGTCGTAACCACAAGCTTCACGAGCTGCACATGCCATAACACAGACGCCCTCAAGCTCCACCTCAAAAACCTTCCCGACAGCCTTCAAAGACTTGTACACGTCAAGTTGAGCCTCAGCGTGAACCCACATCTCATACAACTCTCGTGATATACTAGGATCAGCAGAAGTATGAAAAGTAGACGGTTGGGCCTGCTGTTGCTCCTTCTTGACCTTTAAGGTGACGACCTGTTCATTTAGCCCATATAGCTCTACCTCCAAACTCTCGACCCGCTCCTCCAACCTCGCCACCTTGAGCGTCGACGTATCCACCTCGTTAGCCCGCTCAGACCTACAAACACTTAAGGTACCCTCTAAAGTTGCTGCCTCCGCCATAGCGGCCATCCTGGTCCTTTCAGCCAGATTCAGCTCCGCGACCCTAGTGCTCAATTCCGCCCTCAAGTCGACGACCCTAGCCTCGATTTTTTCAAACTTGACCATTAGGGACGCCTCCTATGCCAGGAGATCTGCATTCTCAGCCATCACTCCCTTGCTCACGTCGAGCTCGTCCTCTTTAGCCTTTAGCGCTCCCTCAAGCACGCTGAATCTGTTGATGGCCCTCAAAAGCTCCTCGACATTCTCCTTCAGCTCCTCGTCTTTCTTCTTCAGCTCTTCGTCTTTCTGCTGGAGCCCATCACGGAGTGACTGAAACTAGCGGTCCTGGCTGAGTAAGTCGGCGAGCGTTCGGTGCTTAGAATGGTACTCTCCGTACTTGGATGCCATTTTCTTGAAAATGACCGTCCTCCGCTCTTCCCACTGATCCCACTCAATCCCCATGATAAGGGTCTGACATGCAAAAAAAAAAGAGAAGAGGTCAGTGGAAGAAAGTTACACATATGAAATGAACTTAACCTAACATGGGAAAAGAAAACTTACTCGCAAGGCCATCCAAGATATACCCAACGACAGAGCCGTATCTTTCAGCGTCTGCAACGTCCTATTCTTAGAATTCGCGCAGAGGGGAGCGAAGGCCGGCACCACCCGTTTTGAGTTGGCTAGAAGGTCGTAATCTACGGCAATGACTATATGCCAATTAGGACCCTCCGTCCTTATCTCCACGCGAGTAGCCTTCTCCACGAAGGTCTGTACCTCCTCAGGGTCGATGTCTGAGCCAGAGTCATCGTCCCCCGCATGGACAGCTCTCCCTCTCCCAGCTGCCGATGATGAGCCACCTTTAACAGCCCGCGTAAGCTCCCCGTTACTACGAACCCCCTAAACCTCAGAGGGCCTCTTCTCCATGGCGGCACCCGCTGCAGAAACAGCCTCAACGTCTGGTGTAAGCACTGATTTCGCTTCCAAAGCAATGAATCTTTCTAGCTCAACATCAGCGTCAATGGCCTTCACGGTCTCTACCCTTCGTCTTTTCCTCGGCAATGCCTCATCACCGTAAGATGACTCGTCCACAAGGTGAAAGATAGGCTAAGAAGAGATCTCATCCGGCACAACAACCGTTTGAGGGGCAGAGTCCCTCATTGGCGGAACTTGAGTTTGACCTCGAGCAGACTCAGCTAGAGCAAATTGCATCCCGATCGAGGCCACCACCTGACAAAATGCAAGCACAAGAGCCTTCGCCTTTTTGGAAGCTTGCCAACCTAGCACCAAAGGAAGGTCGCATCAAAAGGCGATAGTGAGCGGCAATAAGTTGGAAGGTAGAAATAACACTTACTGGACGAAATCTTGGACCCAAAGATCTTGTGAAAGGACGCCCAATCACGAATTCCCACGGTGTGGGGTAACACGCAAGCCACCCAATCTTCAATATCGAAGACGAGAGAAGGTACACGCTTCTCAGCTGAAAACAAGGAAGCCTTGAGTGGGTCGAAAATGAAAGAAGATGAGGAAGAAAAGAGAAAAATAATAAACATATGGAAAGATACTTACGATTATAGTTCCATTGCTCGGGGAACCCGGTCAGATTCGCCACCAGATGCTCGATCTTGATGAAAAGTATTTATACCAGAACCGCCGGTTCATCTTATCATCCATCCCGGCCACCAACCATTTGGTCTCACGATGTCGCAGATGTATCAATGTACTCTATAAAAACTGGGCAAGAATAGATGCAGCAGATGGTGGATATTGACCTCACAGCCGGCGAACTCTGCATACTTCACCAGCATCATAAAAACTTTGTATACATAAGAGGAGAGTTGAGCCGGCAGACATTGTAAAAGCGGCATAACTCCTCCGCTAATGGAGGGAGAGGAAGAGAATAACCAACTAGGAATGGATAAATATAGAAAACGCAATATCCGGGCCGATGAACCTATACTATATCGCCTCTTGCCAGAACAATTTCGACGTGAGAAGGAATACGATATTTGGACTGAAGGTCGGCTATTTGACGCAACCCCGTCTCAAAAAGCTCCTAAGCAGGAGCGGGAGCAGGTTCCTTTGGGAAGTCATTTCCGACCAAAAGATTATTAGGAACCACTTCCTCCACAGTGGGAAAGCTTTCTTCCTCCTCAACCATAGATTCCTCACCGCAGGGAGGAATGGCCACCGATAAAGGAGTGGCATCGGAGACTCTGTCGTGAATATGAGGGGAATCTGACATATTCCAGCAGTAAAGTGTGCACAGCAAAGTCGGAGAAAGAAAATATCAACCGAGAAAGAAACCAGGGACTGAAATTGAAGAAGCTGTAAGAAATCGAAAGTGGAGATCAAAGAAGAAGGTCAAAGAAAAACAATATGCATACAAAATGGAAAATGCTGAAAGTTTCAAAAGTGAAGCCCCTCTCCTCTATTTATAAGGTTGGGTGACACCAAAATCGAGGCGAAGAGTCGTCAATGGCACCAAAATCGAAGCGACAGAAGCATATACACTGTATTGGGAAGACGTGTAATGATGACGTGCCTGGCCATGACGTCATCCTACGTCAGCCACACCGACCGCAGCCCTGCTGACAACGCCACCAGTTCGACCTTGGTTGATTCGATTCAATCATCACGACCAAATTTCCTCTGAACGGTTGCAAACAAAATCCGCTCATCGAGGACATCCAAGATCACGACCTCAACAAGCGGAGGGACTAACTGTATTGGTCAAAATTTAGACTGGACTTAATAACTTCCAATGGACGTGGTCGAGGATTAAGCCAACCACGACGCAATGACGAGGAGTCATCCTAAGAAGGATTAGTGCCGAGGTCGAGTAAAGAATGTACGAAAGCAATGGTGGAATAAGTTTAGAATAGAAAAAGGGATATTCTATTGAATATTCCTTTAATTGTACTTTTTTTAGGGTTTCTTAGGAATATCCCCTATAAATAGGAAGAGATAAAGAATAAAAAGGGATCTTGACTTTTGGATAAGAACACATTGTAAAAGTTGACTACAGAAAATATACAAAGCTTGTCTTGTCCATTGATTCCATTATTCAACATACATCTTTTACTCACAAGATCCAAGGATCTCTTATCCACCTTCATTTTATATTGTCCCCGCGTTATTGTCAGGAAGGAGAATCATACAAGTCATCTAACATTTGGGTGATAACTTCCTTCTTATTACATTTATTGTCATTGCCTACATTCATTGCAAGCTTTCTTTATTGCATTCATTGACAATCATTGAGCACTCTTAATCGGCATTCAATATTATCGGACATGATACTACATCGTTAATGCATTAAGTCTTCAGATCTAGTAGTTATTATATTTAACTAGAATTCACCCCCTATTTTCTTATTAATTCGTTTTAGGAAAAGGTTTAATACTTTTTTGGTAAAACAAGTTAAGCATTGACCTTTTATTCCAGACCTATTGCGGTATTATTAGTAAGTTGAATTTGCAACACTAGAACTCTTCCAACGAAGAAACAAAGAAATAGTACCCTTTCAATTCTAATCATATTGCATTCTATATTTAAAAATGTCTTAAATGATTGATCAAATTAATTATAAAATCATTTTCACATATGGTTTTAGTATCCTAACTCAAATTACTGTTAAATTATTCTTTTTTCCCCAGGAATTACTATTAAATTAATAACTCGGTCTAAAATAAAACAAACATTTAAAAAATAACACAGGTGCATTTGGTTGAAAGAAAAGGAAAAAAAAAAAAAAAAGAACTACTGTTTTTGTGCTTCTATTTTCAGCTACCTCGGAGTAAGCCTGGACAAAAACAGAGTTAGTACTGTTACAGTAGTAGCAGCAGCGACTAAATGGAGCAGAATAAAGCTTCCGCCTCTATTCCTCCAACCAAACGCGTCCGCTGCATCGTCAAGCTTGGTGAGTTATTCTTTTTTCTTACTGCTCAATCTTGGTATTCATAAATTTTTATTTTATTTTTATCTTTTAGTTTCTTTCAGTTCCTTTTTCATTCTTTCTCTACATTTGATCTGATATTTGTGGATTTGATTGAAAAATCTGAAATTTGGAATACCCAGTTTGCTTTTTCCGACCAGTACTAGGGAGAGTGATCTCGGATCTTGAGCAATTTTTTTATTACTTTTTCATTTACTTATTGGAATGGCTGAGGTATTGAAATGGGTCTAAGAAGTTTTCATCTGGGACAATTTTGTGATAATTTTTACCTATAAATAAGAAGGGAAAAAATAACTCATCCTACCATGAAGAGGCTCTTATTTTGTGAGGTCCAGCTCCAGCCCCATCTACCAAAGTGTGAAACCATGAAAAAGAGGAAAGAAAGTTTGTTGTTCCTATTTGAACTTAATAGGCGGCCAACCAATATAATTATGTGTTTAGGGCTGTCTAAGGGGAGGGTTCTGGGTACTTAAGGGATCTGGGTAAGGGGGCGGTACCGGTAGGGAGGGGTTCCTTAAGGGGACTGGGGCTAAGGGGAATTAAGGGTATAGGGTAAGGGAATTTTTTGGGGTATCGTACTAGTACCACTTGAGGGGGTCGGTAAGGGTACTTAGGGGTATTTTAAATTAAAATTTTAAAAAATTGCTATATTTAAATACACACAAACTATACGGGCCTTGAAAAATTCTAGGCTATGAAGTGTCTTTAATTTTATTTAATGCAATGTTAATATTATATTTCTAATACATGTTATAAGTATTTATTTGTATTCCAATACTTATAATAATTTACTTATATATTTCCTTACTTCATCAAAAAAAAATTATTTATATAATATTTCAATAACTTTTAGTGGTTCTTTGCTTGAAATTGATAGTAGTAGTTCTTCTGCTTCCTCGCCATCTCTGGTAGATAGTATTTCATTTATAGGCATCGTCGTCTTCTTGAATTATTTTTGGAAGGACAATGTTTCTTTTTTCCGCTTTAATCCAATATTTCACTAAGTTTTCATTTCCTTCATCATCGCAAACATTATTCTAACCGTTGTTCTAGGAAGCCTTGAAAAGCAGAATTATATGTTTCTTGTATGTAACAAATAAACTGGACTGGTTAGTATTTGTTTCAAAACAGGGACCCCCTCCCTAGCATTACCCTTAGTAAATCTATTAAACACCTTTTTTACCAGTTTAGGAGCCATTTTTAATAATAAATAATTAAAATAACAACAAATAGCAATACATGTATAACAAAAATAAATATGAAACTTAATAAAAGTTGGAACGAGTGAACCAAACGACAATATATAATTGATGTCGATGGAAGAAAATTGCTCTGACTAGTGGTATAGTGCCAACAAAAAAAATGCGTTGTCGTATAATTGATGTTGATGCTTGAAAAATTATAGCAAAATAATTGAGTGCTAGAATGTTAATTGCAATTAGAGAGAGAGAGAATTAGAGAGATAAGAGAGTTTGATTTGACAAATGAAAGAATAAAATGAGGTATTTATAGTTTTAAAATAGGGCAAAAGTGTAATTTAACAAACTTAGAGGTTAAAAATATAAATTAAGGGGTAGAGAGGGTGTTAGGGGGTAGGGAGGCAAAAATAGCCGTTTTTCGTTGTTGCCAATAACCGTTGGCTAACGGTCAAAAAATAGTTAAATTAAAAAATAAAATAAAATGGTTAAGGGTATCGGTTCGGCACCAGACCGTTGCCGGTACGGTATCTTTAGGGTACCAACCGGACCGGTTCTAAGAGTACTTTTTTCAGTCCCCTACCCCTTCTCCTTAGCCCCGATCCC